CATACATACGTACGTACATATGTATATATAGGTGTATATACATATATACATATATTATTACTTTCACGCACACATGCATTCATCTAATTATTATATATTTCTGGAGAGCGCATCGCGTTCTGCATTTATGTATACATGTATCTGTGTATTTGCTACTTATCTATGAAACAGTTATGTGCCGACGTATCTCCTATGTCTATTTTGTGTTTCAGTTGCTTATGTTATAACAGCATTACTCTCATTACAAGTATTCTTACGACTGTATTTTCATATGGTTCTTCTTACTATGATACTTATTATTAATGTTAGTATTGATGCTCTTGCATTTTTATTGAAATTATTCTTGTAATAAGAATAATATTCATATTGATACGAACAATGATATTGATACAATAGTTCCTGTCACTGTATTGAAGTCGGCGTAGTAGTCGTCGTCGGCGTGGTAGTAGTTGTAACAGAAGAAGAAGTAGTAGCAGCGGTAGTAGTACTAGAAGTAGAAGTAGAAGTAGAAGTAGAAGTAGAAGTAGAAGTAGAAGTAGAAGTAGAAGTAGAAGTAGAAGTAGAGTAGAAGCAGCAGCAGCAGCAGCAGAAGCAGAAGTAGTTGTGTCCATCAAGGTCACTTTCCGCCCAATGCATGCTGCACTCGGCTTCCTTGACCTGGCGATGTGAAGCAGTCTGAAGTATTGTTTGAAACTCGAGCCACACGCACGCACTTCCTGTCGAAGCGCCCGGAAGAGATGCCATGGTCTCTTCATGCTGGATTATTTAATTAATTAGCTACAGATATATAAATATATATATATATAAATATATATAGATATAGATATAGATATAGATATAGATATAGATATAGATATAGATATAGATATAGATATAGATATAGATATAGATATGTAATTATAGATGTGTATATATATATATTTATATTTATATTTATATTTATTTATTTATTTGTTTATCTATTTATATGGTAGCGTATGTGTGTATATATATATATATGTATGGTTGCTTGTTTGTTTTGTTTCGATTTGCTTGGCTGTGTTTGATGTGAATTTGTGTGATGTGTTTGTTGGTTTTCTTGGTTTTGTTTGATATGTTTGATTGTTTTGTTTGTTTGTTTGATTGTTTTGCTTGTTTGGAAGATTTGTTTGCTTGTTTTGTTTTGGGTTGGTTGCTTGCTTGCTTGTTCGCTTGTTTGCTTGTGTGTTTGTTTGTTTGTGTTTTTGTTTGTTTGGTTGTTTTGATTGTTCTGTTTTGTTTGTTTGTTTGTTTGTTCGGTAGTTTGTTCGTTCGTTGTTTGTTTGTGTGCATGTATGTAGGTATGCATGTATGTGTGATGTACGCATGTAGTGCATGTAAGCTATGTAATGCTGTGTAATGCCAGGCAATGCAATGTAGTGTAGTGCAATGTAGTGCATTATGTTGTAGTATTGTTTGGCTCCTGTTCTAGTATAATGCAGTGTAATGTCATGTTTGTATGTATCTTACGCAAATATAACATGGGTTCCTGCAGTAGGGTATGCTACCAGGAAACCTCAAACCCCCCGAACCCAGGGCGCAAAGAGTCGGAGATGCAGGCCAGCATGCAGCAAGCGGCCAGAGAAGAGGTGAGCGGCGGCAGTCGAGGGCAGGGCATGGCTGGGCTGAACTTAAAACTCAGGCGCTAAGGGTTAAGGAGGAGGAGTAGTGGTAGTGATGGTGGTGCTGGTGGTAGTGCTAGTGGTAGTGGTAGTGGTAGTGGTAGTGGTAGTGGTACTGGCATTGCCAGTGGCAGCGGCAGTGGTGGTGGCAGTGGTTGTGGTACTGGTAATGGTCGTGGTGGTAGTGGCACTGATGCCGAGCCAGAGCCGCGTGAAAGCACAATGCCAACAAGCAGGTCATAGGCGGTCATCGGTGATTGCGCAACCCCGCCTTAAAAACATCGCTGCAGCTTGCTTGCCCCATGGCAGCGCGAGAACAAGGCCAAGAAGCAAATACAACACTGCCACATAATACTTTTTCTTACCGACGAATACCTTCTCAAGGCCAGCTGCAACTCTCGAAGCGCCAACTGAAACCCAGGGCCGCCGACTGCGATCAAAGCTCCCGAGCTAAGAGTTGCCACAAGAATTCTCTGAGGCTCGCATGACAGCTCTCCTGCTTCTAGCAGCAACATGAGGGCCTTTGAGACCCACCAGAATCTAGCTGGGCCTGTTTCCTTGAAACGATAACGGCCCAAACGCAAACAGACACAACAAAGAAGCTCCAGGGCTACGTGCGCAAAACGAAGACGAACTTCGGCGTTCGGAAACTCAAGGCTCCTCCCACTGAACCCCCGACAGGAAATTCCGACGGCTGACAAAGTACCGAGGGCCCCAAACCCTATCGCCGAAACCACGCTCGACAACCTTACTGCATCGCAATAACAGGTGAATTCCTCCACAAGGCCATATTGCCACACTTGTCCGAGGTCTCATGACGTGTCTCCCAACCACCGAGCCGCGCGTAAACCCGTTGCATCCCCACCCCAACCCTGATGCAACAAACTGGGGCTTCTACCTTTGAAGATATCTTGCTGCCTCGCGAGATGCAGTTGCATGAAGCTTACAGGAAGTCACCACAGCGTGATGCTTCCAGACCTTGCCACCCTCATCTCGAACTGAGTGGCACGAAGAGAAGAACTAAAGACACTAGATTTTGGGGGATAGGGTAGCCGCTAGGACCTGCCGACTTCTGCGGAAAAACGGCCCAGCAGGCTGAGGCAGGCCGCAGCTTGACATTATTTGCAAGGTGCCTCCCATCCGGTGCCCTGTTACACTGCATGATCATACCGCCCTGGCGTGTCTCCCGGCAGAGAAACAGGTTGGAAGTGACATTGGGTTCGGGCACCTGCTCGGGGCCACCCTTCAAAGGCGACGACAGGACTATGCACAGAGAGCTCGTTCCTGTCCCTGCCGGGAAGCCCTTGCAAGCGATGGCAACTAACTGCCCCAAACTCTCAGCCGATACCACCACTTCCAAACTCCAATACAAGGACAAAGGAGAAAAAATGAAAGACCCTAGAACTCCTAGAACTCCGGTCTCTGATGCTGGGCCTGAGCTCCTTGAAAGCCAACCTGAGGAAGAACCCGGCCGGTTTGTTGTGGATACCGCAGGAACATTTGCATCTCTGGGGGTGCAGACGTGTGCGCGCTGCGCTGATACGGGATCCGAATATCTTGGGGTGTTTGCAGGGTCGCTTGTAGCTGCATCTGACGGAGACACAAGCTGCCATGGCGAAACAACATGTATCCTCGAAGAGTTTCGCGGTTCTGAGCTTGATGGTGTCTCTCTGGACGCAGCGCTTCGAGGATTTAGATTTGGAGTGCGTTGGCAATGGATTTTATCTGGACAAACGACAGGTTCTGATCGAGCCTCTCACCGTCGACCATGCAGAGCACAAAGCAAAATGGCAAAAGGACTTGCCGAGGTTGTAGCGTCTACATGGATGATTGCAAGCATCCGGGCCCCTGTAGACTCTGGCAATCGATTGCTGGGAGGCTTCTTTCAATTACATTGCCCCTCGTCGGCCCCTCGTCGTTTCGGGAAACAGGTCCCGAACCGACTCTCCGAAGTCTTTTGGGGGGCTCGGCATCACAGGCTAGAGCCGACTCCCCCCTCAAGCAGCCGCCTCAACAGTTGAAGGTACCCATCGACAGTTTCTGTCTCTTTGAGGCCGCCACAGCTCCTTCATGGAGAGCTTGCCACTACTCTGCACCTCTCAGTCTCACATGGTGGTAGCATGCCAGGTGCGTCTCTGGCAGTTTCAGGCGTCCATGTTGGCAACGGCGCAAGGGATGGTAGCTTCGCATGGCAAGTCTGGAGTACAAGCAGATCTTGGCTTCCACAAGTTAGGATTTCGATGGACCCGCTCTTGAAACTCGGTGAAGCAAGACTGGGACAAAGCACCCCCCCTTGCTTAGCGAAGGGTCTAGCAGTGAAGCAGGTGCAAACGTCAAACATGCGATCGAACGTTCCTGCCGCCAAGCCACCCGCTGTAGAGCAGAAAGGAAATCACGCTCTGCCTCTGCTTTGGAGATCTTGGGACCATGCAGCCATGAGTTGAGGTCCGGAGGGCTTTCCAGATTTCACACCAAGCATCAGGAGCCCTAACCCATCCTAACCCGTCCCCCGTCACACGGCAGGATACCGCGACACTGGCAAGGTGTCGGACCACGAACTGAAGGCTCCCATTCGGCAGCCTCCTCCTCTTCCTCGTCATCTTCGTCGCTTTCGTCACCCTCCGGTGGCAAAATGACCTGCCAGACTCCTTCGCTTCGTGGAAACTGCCACGCCGGCCCTTCCTAGAGGCTAGCATTCATGTGCAATGGCCTCGTCCGGGTTCTGCACACCTCGCAAGACGCAACGACAACTTAGACAAAACAAAGAGGCGACGACAACGACAGCGGCAATGCCACCAGTGACCCCACTCACTCACCAAAACCACTGCACCAAGGCAACAACGATAACAATTGTAACAGTCAAGACCGCGACGACGACCGCGACAAAGATTGGAACACCACTTCCATCCAGTGCCTCCTTCGTGCTGATACAAAAAACCGTCTACAGCAACATCCAAGGGCCGGACGGGTCTGCGGATCTTCCTCCTCTTCCCTGGCCGCAAACGCTCTGCAACGGAAGACTACTGATGACTTGATGTCTTCTTTTGCTGCAAGCCCCGCCAGTGGTCAGAAGGCTGTATGAACTGGTTGGAATGGCTGGCGTTGTCCGGACGAACTCAATATTCTGTGAAATGGAGTCGGAGGACATCTCACGTTTTTGTTGAATTTCTCGGCGACTGCCGAACTTGAAACAATCTGATTGTGCATGCAACTGGATAACTCACACACTAACTGCTCTTGAGCCGCAACCCCCCCCGCCTCATCTCCAGCTCTGACCTGCAGCGCGCCAAAAACTCCAAGAGGCATGGGGAGCCTCTTCGCATGACATCCCCACACCCAAACACACGTATCTTTTGTCCAATCCAACAAGGAAGGAGCTCTGTCATGCACGGTGTCTCGAACACAAGGGCTGTCTTGCAGCACTTTCCACGATGTGAAGGTTTGCCGTCGCCAGGTTGCTAACCGGGACTACTGGCATTGACAAAGCCCGACGGAAAGTGAGCAGAGTTAGTGGAAGCTCCAGCATTGAAATTTTGCTCGTGCTGGCATACAGCTGACAGGCTGTTGCAGACTGTCCTCAATAATCTTGAAACCAAGTGTTACAGACCCGTGCCAAAAATGGTGGGCTTTAGGCTGACCAAACCAAGTACTGCAAGGAAAGGAAAAGCCAATATCCACGAACCATCAAACAAACCTGTATAGCTCGTTGTTTGAACGATCTTCGTGAAGAGGAAACTCCTCGGCTTTGCTGTTAAGACAGTACTCGTCTCAGTCCGAAGTGTATCCAAGCAAGGCTGCATAAAATCCCCGTCACAGTAACAGCAGTCGCAGGTAACGTTAATTGCATCCTTGCCCTAAAGTCAAGGTCCCGCAGGCCTTAGTGCTGTCATGGCAGTCAGCGCTGCCACACCCCTCTTCAACTTGCCTCGTTTGCGGGCGTCGTCGACCCTTTATGCTAGGGCCGCTAGGGCCACTAGGGTTTTGCCAGATATGGTTTGGGATGTTTGGGGATGTTTGGGGCTTTTGGTTGGACGTTGCCAGAGGGACATTGGGTCTATGGCTTGGGCCAAGGTTACCCGCAGATCGGGGCAGAAACTGAAACTCCTTGGTCTGCGACGCTCGTCGGGCTTTGGCTTCTGTTCTGCAGGTCAGACTTTGCTTGAAGACGAAGCCGGCGAGGCTCGGACCACTGCTCCGGCGCCGCAAGCCACGCTGTCCTGCCTTGTCTGCTTGCGACTTAGGAATCGTGATGTCCGGCTTGCCACCGGCTGTGGCCACGTACAAATACCATGCAAGCCCTCCTTCAACCGACACGCCAAGATCTGGGCAAGATTCCGATTAGACTGCGGCATGCGCAAGCTTCAAAAAACGGCCCACGCAAGCGCCGAGCCGGTGATTTGCCATCGCCACTGTCTTCCAGATCGTCTCCTTCACTAGAACCTTGTTTCCTGCACTGTGCATAGGCAGCGCGGCAATGAACGACGATGACGTGCACGGGGCAGCCTGCCTGATGATCAAACCTCACTGTGGAGGCGACTGCAGATCACAGGAGCATATCCGACGAATCTCAGCCGTGCGCCCCTAAGCTTGGACACTGCCCCTTTGCCGCTTGGGGACCTCTCCGGCACCTCCTGGCATTCTACGAATACATGTTCAATGCAGGCACAGTTTTCAATGTCAACAACTGGCCCAGCTTTTGGCAGACACATTCCGGACTCACCGCTCTGTCCTCAACATCGGGTTCCTCGAGTGTGCCGTGCTTGATGAAAGAGGACGATCTGCAAGAAAGCTCCACCATATCCATGCACCCATGAAGTGCGACAACAGTTGGCGAAACCGTGCCAGAGCCTGCGCCTGACGGTCTTCCTGAATGACTGGGGACGACGGTCTTGCTCCGATGCCGCGCTTGGCCTGCTGTCGTCCACAATTAACTTGCCACTGCGCAACCTCTGATGTGATGCCAACAAGCTGCGGCTGGAGGGCGGAAACGACACCCGCGCCTGCATGTCTGAATCGCTCACAGCCAGCTTGCGCTGCACACTGCAAATCTCCTAGCGCTGCCGATTCTACGTTGAGGAATTGAGCCCAGCGCTGGTCTTGAGCCTCGCGGCAGCCCTCCGCTTTCGCGAGGCATCGTCCTCAAACACTACATGTTAGCAGAACTTGCACTTGCTCGAATGAGACGAGGTGCTGGTGAGTCGTCGTTGTCGGAAGGCCTCCACTAAGACCGAGCCACATGCAGATGCCGCAGAGCTCAACATGTTGCGCCGGCTGCTCATTCCAGGGCCCTCACACTCGCAACGCTGCTACGACACCTGCCGCAAAGAGGCATCCCGACCATGGGCGACGAAAGTGCTCTACATGCCTGCTGTCAACGTGAAATGAGGGCGGTGCTCTTCAAATTTTGTGCCGTTGGAGACAAAGATGCTGACGGCGACGGTGGCGCCGACTTGTCCTGGTTGCAAATTCTTATGTGGAAGAATATCGAAGAAGTATGGAGATGCCTTGCAATGCCCGAGTGCAAAAATTGCTTCTCCTCCGCTTCCGGATCCTCCGTGGCACTGTCTGGATGCATGGAGGACGACCTTCAACGGACACAAGTCACAAGTCCTCGACAAACCCGTCAAAATCGCACCATGCGACGGCCGCGGCAAATGACGGACACGCAAACCCAAGTGCCTTAACGGTGTCAACAAGCTTTGGCGACTGTCCTGTTCCGCTGCTGCACGTGGCCTGCCAGCCGCATACTTAAAATCCACAACAAAGTTGGACTGGTCAACTGCCCCATTGTGACAAAGCGACTTTTGGAGGGCGGCCACAGCACCTGCGAAAAGCAACATGGCATACGTCTGAGATACACTTGGAACCAATCGTCTGCGGCTGCAGATTTTATGCTGATGATTTGAGCTCAGCACTGGTTTTGAGTCGCCCAGCCTTTCGCTTGCGTGATGCATCGTCCTCAGAAGCCACATTCGATCTCGGCACCGACAATTCGCTGACTTGCAACACCAGGTGCTGCTGAGTCATCGGTGTCACCGTTGTCGACTGGCCTTACCGCATGGAAGAGAGCACACAAGTGTCGAAGCATTGCAGCCTTCCCCTCATGCATGGTCCCGGACACCCGCAACGAAGCCGCCACACCTCCGCCGGAGAGACAAAGGCGCATGCACCGCAGGCCGCCGACACCAAGCCCTGTAAGGACGGAACTTTTCAAGTTTCGGGGAGACGATGAGGGGGACGGCGATGGAGTCGGGGACTGCTTCGAAGGAGATCGTGACGACGCCTCGCCTCCGTCCTGAATATGCAAATCAGCCCCCGAGAGATGCAGCAACGCGAACATGCGTGGCATTCTTGGTTCCGTTCGTTGTGTCTCACTCTCTTCTTCCCCAGGGCTTTCAGGGCGAGTTAAGCCCCCCGGCCATTTGGCCCCCCATGTGTTCTGCCCTGTTATGGGGTATTGGGAAGGATTCGAGGCTTACTGGAACACTTTCTCTCTCTCTCTAGCCCTCTCTCGCTCTCTCTCTCTGTCTCTCTCTTTCTCTCTCTCTCTTCTCTCTCTCCTGCAAAACCATCATCAGAACGATAACCAACACCCGCAGCTGAACAGCATTCCCCGGAGACTGCCGCACGTCACGACTGAGGCTCTGGGCCAGGCATACCGTACTCTCTCTCTCTCTCCCTGTCTGTTTGCCAGGCTTGAAAAGGCGCAGTCCGTGCCCCCTTCGGCGTGCTCTCATTTCCTTTTTTTTTTGTGTACTTGTATTTCTTGTTGTTCCGGGCATGAACACCATGGCCACCGTTTCATCTCAAAACTTTGTGGGAACAGTTGGGTGGCAAGCGTCTGGCAGGCCCAGCCGGTGCTTACGGCTTGAAGGTAGCGTACTTCAACAAGCGTCGTATAACTCAGTGTTGTTTTTTCCGAGGTGAAGCGCTGTCCTCGAAACGCTGCTACTTGGCACTGACTGGGGCAGCACCAGCAGCAGCAGCAGCAGCAGCAGCAGCAGCAGCATGAGCAGCAGCAGCATGAGCAGCAGCAGAACACAAAAAACTGCATGCACAACTGCACAAACGCTGCAGCTAAGCGTTTAATGTAATGTCGCCGCGCCATTCCACACGCTTAAATTTCCGGGCTATACTCCTACCTGTAAGACCCCAACGTGAACGAAAAACCACGGGTGGACTTGGGTTGCTTGGAATGACGCACTCCAGGCCCGAAGGAAGCAGCAATCAGCAATGTGAGAGAACCAAGTTGCATAATCTGTTTTTCCAAGTCGCAAAATGACTTGCCCGAGATACCGAATAACAAATGAATGATATCATCGAGCCGCACGACGATTCCAAATCCGATAAATAATGTCGCATTCACAAGACGGACATCAGCGTGTCCCCTGAAGCGCGTGAGCTAACACCCCACCCAGAAAACCACAGGGTGCGGCTGCACCAACCTTGGCGCTAAGAGTCGCATTTAAATCACGAACCCAAATCCAAGTGCAACTTGCCCTCACGAGTTGTTGTGTTGTTGCATCGCACCCCATAAGCAGAAACCGTTGGAGCCGACAGAACTAGACAAAAAGTAAACAGTCACGAAAACAACGACAATGGGGAACACAAACACCATGCAACTGCTAACCAGCCCCGCTGACTGCCCACAATTTATCCTGCCATCCGGCACCACATCCAAAGAACACACAAAATTGACACAACCCTAAACCCCACAACAATCCCGCCTCTACCTCCAGATTGAATGATGGGCTTGGGCTGGGTGACCTGGCAACAACACAAAACATCCGATGAAGTTCTCTGCGGCTTGGCATTTCAAAAACATTGACTCCCTTTGCACTCATGTCGTCTTTTGTGTACAAACCACGAATCTCCAAGTTATACTCATTCTACACAACCAAATTATCGGAAACCCGTGCGTAGATATAAACCGAGTTGTGCATGGCTGCATGGCAGCTTAACAGGCATCGCCGAACGATTTGAATTGAGATCGACCACTTGCACCATCGAAGAAATATGTCATATTGCTAAGCGTCGTGACGTGACAAGCCAAGAGGCTTTGAAAAGGCTGATGCTGCACCTGAGCTCGTCGTGCAAAAGCTAGTCTCCGGCGTCTAGCAATGCAGCTGCGAGGCCGTCTAAGACGGCAGCTGATTTGTAATTTGGCCGTTCGCCGCGCTGGCGATGCTGCCATTGCACACTACATGGCTGTCCGCACCGCCAGTGCCCCTCCCATCGACCCGTCTGGAGCAACGCTGCGAATGCAGAATGGAAGTTGCTAGACCGACCTCCATGACAGCAGCAAACTGTCAACAAGTAACCGCTTTCGTTCATCCACACCACGGTCTGTTCCCTCCTCGCTTTTCCGAATATGCAATTTAACCGCGACCAACCTGCTTGAACGACATCCTTTCACTGGGCCTGTAATACTTCAGCATTTGTTTCGAGCCTGTATATTTTTTTGGTTTGCAGAAGCCATCCAAGCTTCGCGTTGTGACCTAACCCACTCCTTCCCGAACATCGGCCCGGCGACGCGAAGACCAGCACAGGCCAGTGGGAACACCAGCGTCGCATCGCGGTGCCGTAGTCAGCAACATCTTCCTACACCATTTGCACCCATGCACGCTCCAAGCCGAAGGGAGGGCCACACCCTGTGCAATGGACGTCCCAGCCTGGCCACTCAGCCCGCCTCTGTGCAGCCTCGGTGGCTGCACGGCGGTTTGCCGCATGACAGTCGAGGCACCGGTAGTGTAACACCAGGAGCGCCTCCGCCGATGCTGCCCAGCTGCAGTAGCGCAAGGAACAACTCTCTCACCAACCAAACTAGGCGGCAGACCTTCCTCTGTTCTGGCAGGAACGAAGGCAAACACACATCTTGCGCCCGCAATCAATTCCGGTTCCAAGGACAGCTCGCTCCCGGGTTAGGGCTGGCTCAGCGCAAGCTCCTCGGCCGGCAGGCAGGGTCCCGGACCTCATCCAGGGCCGGCGCAGCTGCATGTGCCGGAAACGGCATGCCCAGTGCACGGCCCAACGCGACGGCGACGGACAGCACACTCCACCATAGGCGAGCCCACGCTCCTGTTGCGAGGCCTGGCACTCCCGCTGAGGCTCGGACTATGGCTGACAGCGTCTTCATGCCACCGGCCAGCCACTTCGCAGCCGAGCACACATAGCGACATGCTCGCTACCTCGTCACGCGTGAGATGGGAAGTGGCTCCACCCAGCGGTGCGGCCAGCCAGATTCAAATGAATGGTTGCAAGTTGCAAATGGCATCGCGGCCACACGCCGGCAAGCCAAGGTCATGAAGTGGCGGAAGGCATAGCCCTGACCCGCATGACGGCGACTCGCAAACCCGAAGCGGCCTGCAAGGCATAACCCGTAGCCAGTTTGGCTCAAGCCATTTTGGCTCAAGTCTTCCCGACAAGTTTCCGCAAGGCCGCCGGGCGGCGCCAATGGTTTCGGCCGTGTGGTTGTGCTTATGCGTCGTTCTGGGCGGTGTGGTGGTGGCAGCGTGCTGGGCACACCTCCTCGCGCATGCACGGCTGCTGCAGAAGAAATCCTTGGCGGCGTCGCGGCAAGGGCGGGAAGCGAGCTTGCGTTGTTGAGACGCTCGCGTTCGGCGCATTCAGCTGTAGGACCGTAGGCAGTTAGCCTGTCCTCACAGTCGTGGGGAGAGCAGAGAGCAGCCTATTTTTTCAATCGCAAAAAATGCGTGAACAAGGAAAAAATATGACCACGGCGGATGTTTCGCTGCATCGTTTCGCGCTCGCTGCTGCTGCTGCTGTGCGCAAATCGTGGACCAGGCACATCGCACCCAGCCTGAGTGGATACACTGTCAGCCCGGCTGCGAGAACCTTCGGAAAACAATGGCCGAGCCACCTTCGTGGACGGGCGTATGGCTCTTGCGAAGGCAACTCTGGCTCCACGTTGATACACAAACTGTGCGAAAGACGTGCCTGCACGTGCTCGTCGGACGCATTCGTACGGCCAAACATCGGAATACCAATAATACTGGGACGACGAAGAGGTCCGCCACAGCATAGGCCAAGCAGAAGGCTGCGAACAAAAGGATCCCTGGCCTGCCCCATCTTTGCCCGCGGCCAGCGTGAGGCGATGCCACGCGTGGTGGATCCTTCGTGGCTTTCCTTAGCGACCTCTACAGCCTCATGCCCGACCCAACCCGCAGGTGCCCGCCCCCGCTTGCGGTCGACCGGCTTCCCCAGCAGCGTCGCTTCGTCGCGCTAGGCACCCTCATATATGCACGCCGCAGCACTTTCACCTGATGCCAGACTCCTAGACCCTTCAGTTCTTGCGCAGCACCACGCTGCTGTGTGGGGCACGAGGCATCCAGCGGTTGCAACGAGAAGCACTGGCGGAACACCGTCACCGTCCTGGTACGCAGCACGATGCCAGGGGCTTCATGAAACATCACTATATGCTGCCTGAAACCTCAGTGTATGCTGCCTGCTTCCTTGCCACTGTGGTCGCCGGGAGAGCCATGCCACTGGAGGATGCCTGGATCAGGGTCCTGCGTGAAGCAGTCTGGCCAAAGGGAAAGGACCCTCGGTGAGCTCTCCGCTGCGTGCTTACCGCTGACCCCCTCGCACCCGGCACGCCCGACACCCTCGCCGAGCTTCGTGATCCTGAGTGGCGACCACCCACCCCCTATGCACCACTGCCAAGGGCCGCACTCCGGGATGAGCACTGCCCTCTACCCTTGCCCGCTTTCCCTGCCGGTTTGCGTGCTGCCCCGCGCGGCTCTGCTGCTGGACCTTCTGGGGCCACGAACGAGTATCTCCGCATTCTCTTCGACAATGAGGAGGATGCCCCGTTGCTGCACGGCGCCGCCCTTCGGCTTGCCCGTGCGGAACTCCCCTCTGCAGTGCTCCAGGGTCTTCGGGTCGACCGCCTGGTCGCTGTCCGAAAGCCCAATGGACGGGTCCGAGCCCTCGTTGTCAGTCCTTCCGGCGACTCGTTCTCTCTCTCAGGGGAAAGCCTCCAACTCACGTCACAACCCTGTTAAGTGAATCG